AAAATAATGTCCCTCATTGAAGAAATCCTACATGAAAATCGTGCAGCATGAACTCGGCCATGGTGGCCTTACACTCGGCTAAAATAAATCAGAAAATCCAGATAGTGAAATTAATTGAAATCCTGACACAAGCGAACACACGAGGGAACAAGTTCGAAAAACCGCTAATTTCAAGATCGTGGATCGAATCTGGAACGTGTATTAGAACTTGACCGATAGAAAGAATCCTGACGGTGCCGGGTCCGGGCTAGGTGGAATATCCACTTACCACGACAATTATTTCAATAAATAAAACTTTTTTAAAAATTTATTTAGAAATCGTGAGATGCGGTCTGGTGTGATGTAGGTTTCAGAAAAACATTTTCTTTATCGTGCCAACGTTTCGATCTTTATTGATATCATCTTCAGTGCCTGGGATTTACAAACATTGTTTACATTATACAAATACATTTTGGATGTGGAAAAGTGAATTTATACAATGCAAAATATATTTTTTATATATTCAATCAAAGTATTTCTACTCACTCAAGTGTTTGTCTTCTGTGTAATTGTGATTGAATATATAAAAAATATATTTTGCATTGTATAAATTCACTTTTCCACATCCAAAATGTATTTGCATAATGTAAACAATGTTTGTAAATCCCAGGCCCTGAAGATGATCTCAATATAGATCGAAACGTTGGGACGATAAAGAAAATGTTTTTCTGAAACCTACATCACACCAGACCGCATCTCACGATTTCTAAATAAATATCGATTAACGATCATTAATCACCACACATTTTTTAAAAATATTTTACTGATAATTGTTAATTCTTGACCTTCTTGAGGGTGTATTTAAAACTGTTTATGCGTACATTTTTGAGAGAATAGCAGAAGAAGCTCTTTATTGTGTGGACACTCTTACTTAACTGTTAATGTCAGCATTAATCAGCATTGATCAGCATCAAAACAAGAAAACGTATGAAGATTGGTATACTCTTCAATCAGGGCGAAACTCTTCTCTCTACATTTTCATGTTTCTATTGTGAATTAAACATTTTATATTATTTCTAATTAAGCGTAATGTATGAAAAAAATTGATTTTTTATGCCGTTTCGAAAACACTGTACTCACACAATCGCAAACGATCATCTTAAGTACCAGAGGAAATCGTAATTCCTTCAAATATTTGGACGATAAACGACTATCCTTATACAAGGTCCAATTTCAAGGGAATTTTCATTGTATGCGAAGTAGGTTTTCCAAGCGATTTGCCCAATTAAACCGTCGGCTTATTCAATTTGAATGTAATGGGCTCGAATCATCCGAGTGTCAATTATTCTCTTTTGCCAGTCAAGTACGCCCAAGGATTTATGAAGGAGCTATTGCCTCTAAACCGTGGTATTACCATGACGATTAAATTTGCTTTTCGATAATTCCATGGCAACAAGCCTGACAGAGAAAAAAGATTATCCTTGAAAAAATTATCCTTAAAAATTGCTTATAAAACCTTTTTAAATTTCATTATTAAACGATCTCTGTAAAGTTTTACAACACAACAATTTCACATTATTTCACTTCATTTATATGAGTAGAAAACTCATTTCTATAAATACACGTCTCGCCTTTGATGTATTAATTTCAATTTTTTAAACTAACCACTTATCGACAGACCTGGTTATCAACACTTAAACATAGCTTATCGCAAAACTATAACAAACTGAGATAAACAAAACCGTTTATCTTTATAAAATCGCCTTTTTTAGTTGACACCGTTATCTTAATAAAATCGCTTTTTTTAGGTGAAACTATTGATATTTGAAAAATAAAAGTAATAATTTATTCAACCATATACGCGATTTTTAAAATTGATCTTGATTTTTTCATCAAGACTGCGAATTACATGTAGTATTACATTATTTTTCGTTTTGGTGAAATAAAATTAGACCGGAAACCCAAGCTATCGTGACCAAATTATATTAGGGCGTTCTTTACTCTCATGTGCTATCTCTCGTCCAAGCTACCGAAAACAGAGTGGGTCTAAGGATAGAGCCTTGAGAAACACAAGCAGCAATGTTGGCCCCGGTTGGGAAAAGTATGGTTGAAAGGAAACCTGGAATTTTTATATCGTATTTTATCTCAAAATCATGCCTTTAGTTTGTCTGATTATAAGAGAAGAGTGAAATCATCCACCATCCTGATAAAGCTATAAGGAGCAAGAACCTATAGTTTTAAAATAGAAAAGCTAATTTTTTAAATGAAAGACTAAAATTAAACACTTGGAATTTTTTTTTTGGAAAAAAACCTTTAGCACTGCCTAAGGATTTGTTTTAAATATCGTCTGGCACCAATAATATTATATATTCGTAATTTTAAACTTAGGCTTAATTTGTTTTGCTGTGTTATACGTTGGAAATGTGCAGAGGTGTTTCTGCTAAATGAGCAAATCACTTTTCATCCAGGACTTTGCAAACTTCCAATCTCTTCTGGTTTGACAGACGAAGGTTAAAATTAATTATTTTTGCCCACAATTCTCCGGCCTTTGGCTTGTTAGCCTCAACATACGAGGACTAACCTGTTTCGAATATTGGGTTAGTAGAAAATTAACTCTTCATTTTCATAACAAAATATTCAAGGAAATTTTTTTTCGCGCTTTTTGCCCAGATGTTTTGACGACAGTTGGACAAATTTTAATATATAGGAGGATTGTGTTGCGCTAAGACTAAAAAATGTTGTCCTTCTGTACTGAAGTTTCCCTCTGACAAGTACCTACTTCCAGAAACGAACTTTTATATTTTCAACAACAAACAATATATATTTATTTATTTTATTAAAAACTCGTATAATACTACTTCCGATGCTTTATAGAGGGAGGTACATCTCAAAAAAATGAAGAAAATGTAAAAACAGTCAAAATGTGAACTAACATTCTGCGCAATGATAAATATGATAATACAATAAAACAACCTACACTTCTTTATATATTTTTTAAATAAAATTTCCAAAGAAAATTATAAGTACTGTACTGCCAACAAGTTGTAGACGTCTGTTCGATTTTTCCTTATTAAATAGTAATTAATTGAACAGCGGCAAAGGCAAACAGCGAGAATTGACGTACCACGATTAATTATATAAATCAACAAAACGATATGTTCGTGCGGCATTTTTGTAAATCTGATTACATTTGTTATACAAGTTATAACGTTGATTAAACAGGAATTCAATTCTAAAGTGACATTTCTCAAAAATGAAACTACACATGTTGTTTCCTAGCTGGGCTACTTTATATTTAATTTATTATATTCCTTTAAAATGTGTCTGAACTGTTTAAAACTGTTTTTTTTTTTTGGTAGTTGCGATTTATTTAAGGTTTCTATGATATTCCATTGCCAAAATGATTAATTGAATACCTAAAGGGTCTGAACAAAGCAAACAGCGAGAATTGGCGGACCACGGCTAATCAAATAAAATAATAATATATATATACAGACCAACCCAGCGTGGATACGCATAAATAACGACCAAATTATCGCAAGATTTATGCAATAAATGTTTATAAAAGCAAAAGTATGCCGATCTCATGCGTACTTGGTTTACGAACTATAAGGACAGTAGACAAATCATATTTTAGGTTTTTTGGTCGTGAATCTGGCTGGTTTCCGATAAACCAAAGGAAATTTAAAAAATTAAAACTATAATCGAACAAAACAGCAATTTATGAAAAGAGTTCAAATTTAATTAAATTTTTCTTCCGGAAATATGTATTGTAAAATTTGTGTGAGCACTGCCAGGTGTTCAAACTTTAAATTTAAATTCAAGTCGTTATCATTTTCCTATACCTACTCTCGCTATGTTTGCCATTTTGAGTGGTTCAAGGATATAAGCAGGGAGAGGCAACAAAAGTAATTATTTGGATTATGCTAGAAAACTAATCCGATCCCAAACTTACTTTGACATTTAATGTATTTATCAAATATATCGTTATGCATCGAATGGCAACACACAAAAAATCAATAAATGTTCGTACATTTTTTTTTTATCATGCTGTATAGCTTTTACCAAATTGATAATTAAACAGGGTACAGATTGTTCCCTGACAGGCTTTTTTTTCTTTAAATATAAACGGACTGAATAAAAAGATTTGTGCATGGCGAAAGCGTTTTTATGATATCGCATAATCAAAAATGGAATCATTGAAGATGTGTGAAATTGCCTAATAGGTCTAAAAACAAAGCGAGAACTGACGGACCTAAATAAATCGAAAATACCAAGAGATAGTCGCACAGAAGCTTTTTTCGAACATAAACTGAAAATTTCCTGGCAGGGTTATTATTTTTTATTCCTATAAATTATGTATTTAATTTTACAAAAAGTTGGTGCTGAGCTGTTGAAAGGGTTTTATGATCTTAAATGATCACAAAGTGAACGGTTCAGTGAAAAATATCTGAGTCTGAACAACATACAGCGAGAATTGACGGACGATGGTTAAATAAATAAATCAAAAATACTGCTTTTTTAAAATCTCTGTTTGGTTTTTTTAATATATCGAAAACTGAAAGGGTTGTTTATTTGTGCTTTTATAAATTTTATACATTGTATTTTATTGAAAAAACGAAAGGATGCTGCATCTTTTTTAAGCCATATAATGTTATTTGTACAAAATTTATCCGTAATTCAATAGGATAAAAGTCAAAAGTAATAGTACGCCAAGTAAAGCTGGGTTCCTTCCAGTTAAAAAACAACATGAAAATAATAGTACATGGTCCTCGAGTTGTTGAAACATCGTCGGTTTTATCCTTTGGGGATTTGTGGCTGGATGCAGGCCGATGAAGAGTTTTTTATAATCATGATCAAAATGTCTAATGAGCGTAAGCATAAATAGTGAATCGACGGGTTCATGGAGTTCGGATTCTTAGGCGATTCAAAGATTCTCCTAGGTATGCGGCATTTTGACGAGTAAAATAATTTGTAATTATTTGGATACAAGATTGATTTTTGATATGAAAAAAAAATACCTTTAGCCCATCCGGTGAGGACGTTTCCGAGGTACAAGACTTTAAAACTCGGGTCGTATTCTGTGATGGTGACTGACCTCCTCCGGCAAAGTCTCCCCAATCCTTCTTTCACCCTCCTCAGGGCTCTTTCTTTGAAGTCTTTCTGTACCAACTCTTCCATCGTCTGTCCTTTTGTTTATTTTATTGTTTTATTTGCACTTGACACTGGGCCCGGTTTCAGCAGGAAAGCCGGGCGACCACCCGCGCAGTTTTGAAAATGGTTTCTCCTGTTGGAAGAACGTCGCCGAACGGAGGCGCGGTACGAACTGGAGCTGGAGACGACGGACACCCTTCCGGCGGCCCCTCCACGCCACCCCCACTCAGCGAAGCCTCACGCGCACATTCTCATTCTCATTCTGATGGGACCGACACCTGTAATCGCCCCTCGGTCCCCGCCACCGCACCTGTAAATACATACATACAATCCACAGGTACCGAGCCGTGAGTAAACACAATGTCGCTTATAAAAGAATTGACTTTAATGCCTTCCGTAATGGTACTCTTCCTAATCTACACTAACCTTTTATTACGATTGTTATTCCTTCCGTACCTCCTGCTTAATTATATTGTGCTTTATTTTTACAAACCAGCGTATTTCTTAAAGAACAAACAGTAAATTAGTGTTTTCCGATCGTTGGAAAATTTCTTTGATCAAAATAGTCAGCAACTGCAAAAACACAGAACATCATTACACAGACTAGAAAAACGCTCACGATCCAACCTAAAGCTATTAAAAAAAGGAAATTAACAGTACCCATAACATGAGCTGATAGTTACATCAACAGCTTTACATGTATGTATCGACTCTAAGGGCTATTTGGGCTTTACGTGGCAGGTTCTCTGCACACCTCGGAAAAATAGTGGTTGTTGTCTGGGTTTGTGGACCCATCGAGACGTCCAAACGCGGCGATGAAAGCCGGAACGTCTCGCCCTCCCGACCGGACCATCCCGATCAGGCCCTCTGACGCTAAGCGAACGAAAAAAGCAATGATAAAAGAGAGATGGCAGCGTCAGTGGGCGGGATTGTCCGAGGGGCTCTTCCATGTTATGAACACGATTTGCACGGGGCCTGAACCGGAAACGAGGAATAGTGCTTGCCAGATTAAGAATATGTCATACTCGGTTCACACATGGGCGCTTGCTCGTGGGCCACTCCCGCGCAGGTGCCCCCTATGCAAAGAAAGGTTGCTCGATATGTCCCCACATAATTGAAGGGTGTGATGCCTTGGCCCATTCTCCCTGTTGTGGAGTCTGACGAGTTTCGGCTTTTCCCCATCTTCATTGGTGAATTTCTTCGACAAAAATAGTCGGCAGCTGCAAAACTACATTTTCATCATTACACGTACTAAAAAAATCATAAAATCATAGGGTGCGAGAGGGCATGCCACGAATTAAAAGGGGTTCTCACGGCTCCTGAAGGCTTTTTAAGGGAATTGGGAATTTTTTATTGTACATAGCCTTCAAAATATGTATTTTGTATAAGTGACTGTATTTATTAGTGTGAATGGGGATGGGCTGATAGTGAAATTGTATCTCCATCCCCCCTCGAACTGGGTGCGTGACTTGGGTATAACTTTAATTTCTATGCAAATTTTGGCTGAGATTAAAAATTAGTGTCACTAGCTGGACTCTTACCTCGAAGAGGTACAGATCCGGAGGTCGTGGGTTCGAGCCCTGCTCATTACAATAATTTTTCAACTCAAACTATTCATAATTATTATTATTATAACCTATTCTAAACAAAAGAAACGCTTAATGGCTCTGAACAAGACACAGAGGGAATAGCATGACGTATATTTCATATTACCATGGCCTCATAAAACTAGAACATCAGCTTATAATCGAGCAATTGATTCTTTGAGATTTGATGTAACCATGGTTTTATAAAAACTGAAAAGCAAATCTAAACCTCGTAATTCTTAGCTAAAGTAGTTTGTTTTATTTCTACAAAACTAGAACAAAGTTTGATATTCTGAGCAAGAAGATAATATTTTTCCCACTTATAATGACAAAAACTCTAAACGTTGTTGACAGAGGTTGAACGAGGAGAAATCCACTTTCCAACCATTGAGATAACTTCGAATTTGGATATCACCTTTAATAATAATTGAAAAATTAACTAAAGATGAGATGGATCCAGGTGAGGTCTGGATGCACCTCTTCATTATTTTAATTGCAGCGGGTTGTTATTATAAAATATTTGAAAAATTGCTACATTTTGCTTATTTATATTATTCAGCTTGAAAATTAAAATTTGGTTTTTATAAAAAATGAAATAATTACGTCCCTTTCATATTGTATACTTCTTTCTATGACTGCTTTCATTAACTATTGCAAATATGGTCGATTTCAACTCTAACGATTCAAAGAAACTAGATAACTGATAATTGACCCATTGGTGGTTGGACTATTATTTCTTCTGGTGTATTTTCACATATCTTGAGTAATCCTGCGGTAAAATAGTGATTTTGGTAGGCCATATGAGTGAAAACTTTAAAATGTCGACAGAAAAAAAAAATTAAAAATACTACGGTGAAAATAAATAAATGCTCAGCTTGATAATGAACCCGCTTTATGTGTTTATGTGCCAATTTGCATAACGTCATTTTCATAATAAACGGGAAGAATTTCGTCCCTGTGAATTTTGAAAGTACGCCTTAAGAAGGTAAAGCGATCATTTATGTGCCAAAGAAGGACGCGTAAGTGATCTGCTGTCAGCAACTAATAAAATATCGTAGCATTCACTATAATTATATATTTTTCTTTATAGAATTTTTTTTCACGTAATATCAATGTAGCGGCACTAAATTAATAAATTTTCATAAGTTCAAGATTCACAAGGGGGAAGAATGCATGCGAGATGGTCGTGCTGACTAGTTCATAAATTAACAAGGTTTTTCGGTCATATTTTTGAAATAACTTAACTTTGACGGTGCAGGAAAAAAAGTAAAAAATAAATTCTGGTAGACTTGAAAGGTTTTGTAAGAGATTAAGAACGGAAAAATATAAAAATTCAAATTCATCATCTATGCAGAATTTACCTTAATCCAAACAAATCTACTTTAAAAAGAACTATTCTCTCAACAAATTATAAATAATAAAACAAAGTTTAATAAATTAATTAATTACAAAACAAGCTAAACAATGGAGGTCTAGAAGATATCTTAGCCTGCATCAAGCAACGTCCATTTCTGGATTATATCAAATTGGGCCGGCCGAAAACAAAGATACTGATGTACTCATTTCGAATGAGAATAATATCAAATGTAACTTATTTGGTTAACTACTCTGTCACAGTGTCACAATAAAAATATCTTACTAGGCTGTCAGGACATTGACAACTGCAAAAATACATGTATCAGACGACGGAAAACGAAGAAACTTGAAAAACCCAAACTTTTTAAAAACTCACTAGTTTTCGCGGTCCGCTTGACCAATTAATATCTTTCAATCAGTTAAGGTTTTTAGTTGAGATTAAAAAAAGTCAGTGTCACGAGCGGGATTCGAACCCACGACCTTCGGCTAGATATGCTGCTGCTCTACCACTTGAGCTATCGTGACTTCGATCTACTCGATAACTAAGTTAAAATGAAGTACACTTCACTAAAGCTCTTCATTAAAGAGAATCAAATAGATTACACGACATTTGAAAAATGGCAAAAAGAGGGAAAATTCAAAATGTGGGGTTGAGATGGGAAGTTAGTGTCCGAGTAGAATCCAGTTCAAGTGGTAGAGTAGCGGCGTATCTAGCCGAAGGTCGTGGGTTCGGATCCCGCTCATTACACTGTCTTTTTTATCTCAACTAAAAACGTTAATTAATTGAAAGAACTTTTTAAAAACTTTTCAATTAATTAAAGTTTTGGTTGAGATAAAATGAGATAAATTTTTAAAAATATTAATTGGCTGTTTAGTAAAAGGTTTCTTTTTTTAGATCTGGGGGTTAATAAGTCTGTAGCTTGGTCGTTTCCGATCATTTTGATACTACCTATACTCCGCTGCTTTGGTGCGAGGTCTGTGTAAGTGTCTCGCCCTGCTTATGTCCCTGACGACCGTTTATACAGGTAAGATTTATTCTTGAAACCTGCAAGTCGCGAATTGCAGCTAGGTCGTTGCCTTTTCCTCTCATTATCTCCATCTTCACTGCTGCGCCTATTTTGTTCATGGCCCTGCTTATTTTCCTGACAAACCGTTTATAAAAGAAAAATTTCTTGAGGATATTATGAGACGAATCTGTACTTCGATCGTTTCCGATCATCCTGGTCCGGACTGTTTTGGTTTGTCTGACGTATTGAGACTGGGGTAGCTGAAAGATCATATTTGAAACTCTTATAAAAACATGATTTAGTTAGCTATTGTCTGTACAAAAGTTGAGATTTTTAAGATAAGAGAAGATAAGCAGCTTGCTCGTTTCCAATCATTTTGATCTGCCTATCCTCGCATTTTTGTCCTGTCTGGCGTGTTTTTGTTCTCTGCATATTCAGGGCTGAAATACCTGTAAAATGTCGACTGGAGGTCTGTGATATGACGAATTGGTCCCTTGGTCAATTCCAGTCACACTGGTTGGTCCATCCTAGCTGTCTGGCGTGTTATGGCTTTTCGCCATGTTTAGTGCTGTGTCAGAATCTGTGCTTGCCATAGATATGCCCCTGACAACCGTTTATACATGTTAGAGGGTATACAACAGTGTGATAAATAGTTCTTTGGTCGTTTCCAGTCGTTTTTCTTTGATTATTCACGCGGTTTTGGTCTGCATGATGTATCCCCTGCTTATGCCCCTGCAAATAGTTTATATGTACATGTAAGATTTCAGCTTGATGCCTGTGAATTGACTAACCTTTACTTCGTTCGTTTCTAATTAATCTGGTATTTCTATCATTGCTGGTTTTGTCTTTCATGCTTGATTTGTCTTCTCGCCTTCTTTGGATTGCCTCACTTTGCCTTTATCCCAGAAAACTGTTTTTAAATGAAAGATTTTATCGTGTAGGAGGTGACGAACAAGTTCGTTTACGATGACTTTGGTCTGCCCATCCTCACTGTTTTGGTCTGTTTGACGAGTTTCAGATTCCTTCCACCTTCAGTGGTTGGTCTGTAGGTTTCTTACTCTGCTTATGTTCCGGACAACGTTTAAACAAGTTTTCTATTTGAGAAATTAATCGTTTCCAATCATTCTGGTCTGTTCCGCTATTTTGGTTTTTCTGAAGTATTTATGCTAAGGGTATTCGTATTACCTGAGGTATCCCACTCTCTCTCTCTCAGGTAGCTTATGCAACTCCCAACAGATTATACATGTC